TACTTTATCATAAAGAAGATTACAATAATAGAAAAATAAAAATCCATGGCTAATCAAGTTCTATATAAAAAGACCAAGGGAAAGCAGAAACAACTCCTCGATTTGGAAGCATTCACCACTCCTCTCACTTTTATTTTCATCATGTATCTCACTCCATTCATGGAGGGCGGGCTAAGCTTCTAGGGTTATTGCAATGTAATTTCATTATGGATTTTGAGGTTAAGTTGAATTAATGTCTTTGTTTCGGTTGATTATTGATTTGGATTATCTTTCATCTATGTCTTTTATTTCTCAATCACATGAAAAGTAATGATTTTTACATAGTAGCTAATTAGTGAGGTGTTTTAATCTATACGCATGTAGATCGTGTGAGTTTAATGATTTTTAATTTTGATGGAGAATGTACTTTGATTGAAGTTAGAAACTTTCAAATGATTAAATGAATTTTGCTACCAATTGATAATGTGCTTTTATTAGTGGTGAAAACTTCAACAATAATTAGTCAAGATTGTACTTTGATTAATTAACCTTTAATTTGGTTAGAAGATAAAAGAATAAGCATGACAAAATTTAATTGAAAATGTACTTTGGTTGAATTTATTGTGATTAATCTTGAAATGTCTTATTTTTAATTGAGAATTTACTTTTGGTTAAATGTAAGATCACCCTTAAATTAATTAAGAATGTACTTTAATTAATTTGAAACTCTAAAGCGATAATTAATTGAACAATAATCTTGGATAACAAACGATGAATCTATTTTGGACAAATAGTGGAAGTTAGCCTATTTTATTATAACTGTTTCAAAGTTTTTTTCTTTGTTTTTCATTCAAATCCACATCAATCTTCAATATTAATTTCATTAGGAAAGATTTTTACTTTTATCTTTAAGCATTGCATTGTGTTTTACTAATTTTTAATAGTCTTTCATAAGAGTCGAATATTGAAACAGTATTCCGTATTCGTTGGAAAATGACTCAGAGTTACTTTAACCTTATCTAATTTGTTAACTACTAACTTGATAATAGTGAAATTGCCTTGTTAAGTAGTAGTGATTTGATAGCGTCGATGATAGCGTATCAACTACCTAACCCAAATAATACACACACACACAAACACACTCTAATAGATTTTGGCCTCTAGCCATGACATACCCATCACTCTACTATCCTTTTTCTCTGACTCCACCTTCCAAAGCAGAGTGCCAAGCTAGAAAGATCACACTCCTTTTCCTTGCTCAAATTAAGCACAAAACTGCAGGTATTGTCTAATGGATACCACTCATCATCTTACGACCTTCTCCATCCACAAGTCCTTGAGTCCTTCTAAAAAAAGTTTGAGGAAAACTTCCACAAGGTGATTTACACTTCTAGAAAACACCTATCCGTGTTATTCCAACAAGGTAAACCACTTTCTGAATCATTGTCCAATACCTTCATAAAGTGCTTGAAGTTAGCAGACTCAATAAATCAATCGTCTGATATGTGTACATATATACACCTATCAAACGATTGCCTCCCTTAGCACAAGTGATCGTTTGATGAGTACTTCGTATAGCAAGTACCTTACCTAACTATCACTCTTATAGTTAACCCTCACTTGACCTCTTGTCTAGTTAGTACTCATTTGACCATTAAAGTATATGGTTTGATGTTATTCATTATCCTATAACTTAGTCAAATAAAGCTAAACCCCATCACACTTTACCATATTATTTTGAACTTGTCTAATATCCTTTCTTAGTTATCAACTACCCTTGTCTCTTTCACTATTGTAGTTAGAACTTTCACTCTAGTATTCTCCTAAAAACCTCTATCCATAGGAGGTTTTGACTAGAGCCACCTAGGGCTCACCACTATTACCCTAGATAAACAACACACCACATTTGATCATGGCATTTAATCATACATCAACAAGCATTATCACCAATGCACATACTAAATATAAACACAACCACCACTACAAGAATAACTGATATTACCGACGGCCGTAGTTCATCGGTAATGTATCAAATCCGTCGGTAATTGTCGTTTACCGACAGCTTACCGACGGTCAAAATACCGTCAGTAAAAATGTTGTCGGTAACCTTTACCGACAGATATTTCAGCCGTCGGTAATTACCGAAGGCTTTTGTCCTTCGGTAAAGCCGTCGGTAATTACCGAAGGCTTATTATGGCCTTCGGTAAATCCGTCGGTAATTACCGCGATCTGGTTCATCTTCTTCTTCCTTCCTTCCTCTGTGTCTTTTTTTTTGTTTTCATGAACTCCGCCACCAAAAAAGCATCACGCGAGTAACAAACTAATTTCCAAAGAATCAAACAACCAACTTATTTTCAATAGTTAAAATCATAGGGAATCATGGAGAGTTTCTCTGCAATTCTCAGATTTGTAAGAGGAATGTCCCTAATCGTAAAAATGTGGTGGAGAGCAGCGGTGGTGGAGAGCACGGTGGTAGAGAGCACGGTGGTGGAGGGCAGCGGCGGTGGAGGGCAGCGGCGGAAGGGCAGCGACGGGAGGGCAGCGGCGGGAGGACAGCGACGGTGGAGAGCAACGGCGGTGGAGAGCAGCGGTGGTGGAGGGTAGCGGTGGTGGAGGGCAGCGACGGTGGAGAGCAGTGGCGGTGGAGAACAGCGATAGGAAGAAGTATTACACTGAGATGGAGAGAAATGAGAGAAGAAATGAGTGTTTGCCACATATATTGGCACTGGATGTGAAGCTGGTGTCGAAAAATTTCCGCTTTTTTACCGACGGTCAAAGGCCTTCGGTAAATCAGTCGGTAATGTTGTCCAGCGAAATAATGGGCGAGAAAATTCCCGCTCTTTTTATCGACAGCCAAAAGCCTTCGGTAAATCCGTCGGTAATGTGCATGTCACTTACCGACGGCCTGACCGAAGGCTTTTGACCGTCGATAATTTCGTCAAAAATTAAAATATATCGACGAATATCGATCCGTCGATAATATTAATATTTTTTGTAGTGCACATATATAACATATCAACATGTGTTTCATATCATCAACAATAATATCCACCAACATATTATAACAACAAACACAAAAATGTTAGATTTCCTTACCTTGAAAAATATGTTCTTTTACCCAACAACTCAAACACGTGAGTATAGTCCACACCAGCTTACACCACAAAGAAACACCCCAAACTAGGAATTTGAGCAAACCCACGAGACCTCTGACACCCAACGACTATTACCAATCCCAATGACAACACATGCAAGCATAATCCCAAACTAACAAAACCAAGAAAAACTAGAAAGATTTACCTCTAGTCACATCCAACTTTCCCCTACGACAACCACAACTGTAGAAGGAAGCAAGAAAGAAATGTAGAGAACAATATTTTGTAGAGAAGTATGATTTGTTTAATAATTCAACTCGATGATGGATATTTTTGACTTATGCATGCATTCCTTGAAAAGAGTCAAGCATTGAGTTACACATATTAAGCTCCTTAACCTTCTCACGAACAATTATCCACTAATTCCTCCCTCTCGTTGCACTATTGCTAACACGCGTAAGCGAAACTTTCTTACCATGTGGCTAACATGTGATAACGGTAATTTTTACCATTATCTGTGGTGCACTTTTATACCAAATCAACTCTCTTGAAGCTTGAAACCTACTTAATCCTCTTTTTTATCTAACTTTGTGAATAAGTTTAGTTTAGGTTACACTTAGGGGTTTTCATCACTAATTTTCTCAAATATTTGCAGGCAAATTATGCGCATTGGAAGAGTATCAAAACCATCATCCAACTTTCCCCGAGGACAACCATAACTCTAGAAGGAAGCAAGAAAGAAAGAAATGTAGAGAACAATATTTTGTAGAGAAGTATGATTTGTTTAATAATGCAATTCGATGATGGATATTTTTGACTTATGCATGCATTCCTTGAAAAGAGTCAAGCATTGAGTTACACATATTAAGCTCTTTAACCTTCTCACGAACAATTATCCACTAATTTCTCCCTCATTGAGTTACACATATTAAGCTCTTTAACCTTCTCACGAACAATTATCCACTAATTTCTCCCTCGTTGCACTATTGCTAACACGCGTAAGCAAAACTTCCTTACCATGTGGCTAACATGCAACTGGACATCTCAACACATATGACAACATCTAACGCTTTCAACCTCAACTTGTCTTACCAAAGTAAATGCTCTCATCATCTGCTATGTATATGTTACACTTACAATATCTACACAGTGTAGAACACACCTAATCTCTGATTAGTGCAACTTATACCCCTCATATAACACTCAACCAACAATTATCATCTCTCCAACCAACACTACATTTATCTAGTGCAAGAATATATACTATGTGTTCATAAGCTACTGGAAGAATCTTCCTAGGATTTGACATGGTCTAGTAAACGTAGAAGAAAACATTGTGCATCTCAATGCTCTTCTTGTAGTAGGAGTAACTCGTACAAACACATGATCCCAACCTCAAATTTCAAAGGTCTTCTCTTATTTGCATATGACTTTTGCATATTACTTTTGCCTAGTGTGAGTTGCTTTCATTTGATTCTAAATCAACTTTATATTTTTTGTGGTTTGCTAGAGTAATTATGACCCTACCAACATTGTCTCACTGTCTTGGAACCAACACAAAAGAGTCATACACCTCCTTCCATATAAGAACTCATGGGGAACTAACCCAATATTAGTGTGAAAATTATTATTGTAAATGAACTCTACTAGGGTTGCATTTTCTCCCCAGATTATCCAAGACTCAAACCTTTAATGAATTATTCTACTTACCTTTTTCTAATTTTGTAAAATGGTTAGTCGACACCCAATTCTAAATGATAGGCAGGAAAAAGAAAATCTAGTAATTAATATGTAATATAAGCTGAAATAAAGATGAAATTACGTGTTTGGAATTACATAAGGCATGTAAAGTCAATAATATAATTCTTCATGTTAGGCATCTAAATATCAGTATGAAAAAAGTTTGTAACTTATTCACAGCCTCAATTCCTAAGCATCATGAAGCACAGTTTATGAGCTATTTGTGATGTAAATTCTTCAATTTGCAACAGTTGGATTGGTGTGAAATGGTGAGTTCCCACTTTCTACTTTGAACTAGAGTAAGTGGTTGGGATGCTTACCCTTTTGTGGAAATGTGTTTCTCATATCTAGGCTGTCTGCTGTTGAAAGAAACCTGAAATGATGATATCGATGCCTTTGCTTCCCGACTCACCCTCATCACCACCACTCCCATCACGCCACGTGTCTTCAACACCGACACTTTCTATTAGCCTACGGGGTTGTGGTACACCACCAGGCCTACCTACCCCATGCATCCTCATGTGCATGCATGGTGCATACACATTCCCAAGATCATAATATCCATCATATCATGTGCATCAAATCAAACTTCACCACAACTCTCAATGTGCTTTGGGAGTTCAAGCCTCACTTCGACCACATATAACCCCTCTCTGCACCAAATTAGCATTACCACCTTCTCTTAACTTGTCCCTCTTTCGCTCTCACACGAAAAGTGTGTGTATATACATGTTTTTCTTTGAAACAAATGCATGTAAGGTTTAAAAAAAAGTCTGCATTTATGATTTTGACCGTAATATCAAGATTTCTTTTATGTGTCTGCGACCATAGTACAACTTTAGTAGTAATATCAAGGTTTTTGTTGTGATTTTGACCTTAATATCACAACTTTAGTAGTAACATCAAGGTTTTTGTGATGATGGAGAGTGGATGGAAGGCTGAGGTTGAGATATCACCAAATTGTCCAAGGTGTGGTTCTTCCAACACCAAGTTCTGCTACTACAATAACTACAGCTTAACTCAACCAAGGTACTTTTGCAAAGGGTGCAGAAGGTACTGGACCAAAGGAGGCTCTCTTCGGAATGTGCCTGTTGGTGGTGGCTGCAGGAAGAACAGAAGAGGTAACAAGACCTTGTTGAGACAATCCATTGATGGTTTCACTTTCAAAACTTCATCATCATCACCTTGTGGGAATGCTACATATCATAATAATAACCCTGTTGGGCATTCTTATGATCCCAGAATAAGGACTTCTGCAGCTTCTAGCTCCTCATCAGGGATGAGTGATGTACCAAATATTGATCTTTCACTAGTTTATGCAAATTTCCTCAACCAAAACCCCATTTTTGAATCTGGGATTGAGAGCAGTAATCCAGATCAAGTTTGAACAGCTTTTGATCCTTCTCTGGAGAATAATTCAAGGCTATCAAACACAGATGTTTCTGATCCAAGTACTTTGCCTCAAGAAATTGCTCTTACTGGGTGTTTGAATCTTCCAGAACAACCATCCACACATTCTGCTGAAGCTAATAATGGTGGCCAAATATGCTATGGTGACTTCAACTCTATGCAGACTATTCAAAAAGATGGAATTCAGCAGTGTAGTAGTCATGGTGGTGCTGTGAATTTTGAGCTGCCGCCATTACCTGATGAAGTGGAAGCCTCACATGATGATGATCATCATCATATGATGTGGTCAAATTCTGAGATGATGACATTTCAAGCCACGCAACCACCACTTCTTGGACCTGAAGTTCATGATGCAGACTTGTTAATAGGTAATTGGAGCCCCTTTGATTTGCCTTGAGATGTTTAAGAAAAATTATTCTGTTCATTTTTCATTGCTTGCTTGTTATGTTTAGAATGAATTGTTACTGCTAAATAATAAATTTATAAATGTAAACACAAATTAAAAGTCTCTATTTAGTCTACACAGTAACACTACATACACTGAATTTATATACTGATAAACTCTCATTCCTGTGATGACGTCAATCTGGTTGTTCAGTTTTTGAGGTTTTCAATGGTTGTCAGAAAATTGAATTCTTCATCCTGTTACAGTTTCTCGGAAGAAACAACTCATGTTCCATAACTTGCATGACAGAGTGACACTGCTGTCCTGTGTTCACCTTTTATTTTCACTACAGTGAAAAAAATAAAAAGATAAAACAAGTGAACTATTTTTTATATAAATTTAAATTATCCTACCAAGTCAATACGACATTTGATCATGATAAAGTAAGTTATACAGTGTAAGATTACTTTATATTATAGTTATTATAGTTAGTACTTAACCACACACACGATTAGGTTATTAGTTTTTAAAATATTTACATTAAATTTTATATCAATTTTAACTTTTATTAATTGATAAGTAAAAGATTTTATTCAGATAATTCATTACCATTAAATATTTTGTTTATAAAACAATCACGTGTTCATTTCATTTTCTTCTCAAAATTTTAGGATGAAATTTATCCATTGTCGGCATATTTTTCTCAATTATTACCATATCTCATTATCATTGTAGCCTACAACTATTCATAACGTCTCATAGTTGGTAGAAGTCTCGAGCATTCTCAACTATTCCTTAAGGAATCTTCAGTATGATTATTGAAATCAACAAAAGCTACAAAAGTAACAAATGCAAATAAAATTCTTTATTATTAAATGATATTAATTATCATAGACTTTCTTCTCATTCTCTGCAATGGCTGCCGTTCGTAATAAAGAAAACAAAACTTTAGGAAGTTTAACATTCTCGTAACTCGCATAATTCGCCATCCATCTCAAAGTGTTTCCAATAAACTACGTACTCATCCCATTGGGTTTTATTGTTTTTGCTGAGTAATCCCTGTAGGATTCCAATTTTGTTTTATAATGAATTGCAATAAGTAGAAGTATCTCCAACCAATTAGGTTTTGAACCTTAAAATTTTGCTGTTTTGAACTTTAAATTTTGATATATACTATAAATATCATGGACTGAAAACTTAGTTGTCGACCAACGTGGTTTTACTAGAAAGCATTTTAGGGTTTAAATAACTTGTGTTGAATTGAATCACCAACTTTGACAAGTACTAAGTCAGCACTGGGGCATATATGATAATTAATGCAGTTCACAATTAACTCCAAATCACTGGAATAACTGATTGGCCTAACCTAGTTGAAGATGAGCCACTAATTTCCCACAATTAGGTCAAAAAATTATGCCTATATATGCAATTTTTTTTAATGTTTGTGTGTGTGTTTATTTGACTTTCAACATTAAATGAACATAAATTGGCAAATTGGACATATTTTTGTGGTGAGATGACATGGTTCATTGGGAAATTCATGAACCATTCAGTTAACCACGATGTTTTGTACTTTATTTTGTCATAGAAGAAATTTTCAAAGTTTGAATATTTTGACGATAGTGTCCACCGACCTCAAACTGTGTGCAAATCACACGATCCCAGAAAAACCCATGATCCAATAAAGTGGGCCCCACAATCGGCTTCGATTTCATAAAGATAATGTATAATTTATTTACACGATTCATAAGATCCCTTTATCCAGGGACCATTTGGAAAATAATATAAGTTACGTTAATTTCACTGTAGATTTTCTTCAACAATCGTGATCTATCTTATTCTTTTTTTCCTTTTTTAGGGTTTGATCCTTTCTCATGTCTCATTCCTTTTCATTATGAGAGTGCTAATTTTTGTTCATGCCCTAAAATGGTCGTGGAGAAGGGGTGGCGCGGCTGGGTGGCATTACCGTGTGCAAGCTGTTGCTTTCTATGTGAACGTACGCTTTAATTTTGCAAGATGCTCGATTCGGAATATGTTGTAATTAATCTTACCATTGATAATAGATATTTACTCCATTCTATTGTACACTAATTATAGTTCTTTTTTTCTTAAAAAAATTAATCTAATTTAATCTCATTGAAAAATATTATTAGTCAATTCAAGATCTCCAATAATCTCAATATTAAAAAAAATTAAATTATATAAACCATACCATTTCGGTTCTAAAAAGTATTTTTAGATGTTTTGGATTTGTTTTTGGGACTTGTTTCGGTACGTAGGATCGACAACTAGATATTCACACTTTAAATCTCTTCACTTAGTTCAGTTTGTCTCTCTTCTTCTAATATCTTGTGGGTTCCTTTCTAGCAAAGTCCAAGTCCCAACGGATCAGCTAAAAACACTCCGTAATCGTTTGGTTAATACTGTTTTGAAATTTCTAGAGTTGACTTTCTATATAGTTGACCGATCGGATGACATACATCTATCGGTTTATATGGCACATGACTTAAGGTGAATTTTTATAAAAATAAGATAAGAACCATAAGATTAGAGCCTAAAATTATCCAACGATTTTTAACAATTATAAATTGTAGTATTATGAATGTCCAATTTACATATTTAGGAATACATTTTTTTGAAAAACCGCACAAGCAATCAACTCTCTCAAGATGTGATAGCAAAAATCAGAAAAAAATGCTAGTTGTATGGAAAAAGAAGATATATCCTTTGTGAGCATAGTCAATTCAATAAAATGTCATATCTACCGTCCTATTATTTTACTAATGAATGTTCAAAATGCCATCAAGTGTAGGGAAAATAATTAAGAAAATACAAAAGAAGTTTTCATGGGAGTGGGGACAAAAATATTTGATAAAATGAAAAAAATGTAAAACATAGTAAGAAGGTGGTTAAAATGAACTTGACACTCATCAACACAACCTTAGTGAGAAATGGAAATGAAGGCTAGGAAAGGAAATACAAGATTGTGGGAAGAGATTATGGACTTATAATATGGGTCTTGCAAACCCTTAAACTAGATGAAAGACAATAATATGAATATCATTGGAAATGGAATTTGGAATGAAAAGGAGAATCATTCAAACGAGAGAAATATGTGATGAATACATTGATGCAAAAGTTAGATGGATGCATTCTACAGATATACATGAACAACGAAGGGTTATTTCAAACAAAAATCTACCTTGTGAAATTAGCATAGTAAGACACAAAATGAAATTATAGAGAGGAAGTTGTGGGAAGTAAAAGATGTGTAATGCGTATAAATGGTGACGAATCAAATACTCATTTATTTTTCAGTCGTAGGGTGTCTGGGCACATATAGAAGATATGTTACAATTGGTCTAGGGTTAGTTTAGAACACCACAACAATGCAAAGAATAATTGTTACCTCAATTCAAACTTCTAGGAATGAATGACAAATGGAACAAAAGTTTGAATGTGTACGTCGGTCAGTCGGTGGTAATTATTTGGAATATTTGGAACGAAGGAAACAATATAATTTTTACGAACTTCAAATTGATGTTAATAAAGTGTTCAGCACAAATTAAATAACGAGTCTGGATCACAAATAAGTATAAACATCTTTTTTTATCACTGTTATATTCGGATGTTCATAACATTTGTACTAAAATCTTAATTTATTCCTTAAGTCTCAAGTTTTCTCAATTGAATCCTCAATTTTTTAAAATATGTAATAAATAAGGAGACAAAAAAGCATCAAGATATCCTTGGCAAGTGATGTGAATAAGTTTATTAAGTGGAAATGGGATTTAAGTTATGATGTGAAATTGGAGTTTAATTTAGGTTTAATGTCTTTTTAGGTTTCTATTTTTGGTCAGAATCTCAAATAGGTTCCTTTCTTTTTCGGCGTCTCAATTGAGTCCTTATTTTTGTAAAATTGAATCAAATAAAGGTTTTCCGTCAATTGATGAAACGTCGTTAAGGAGGGTGTGTCGTGGCATGCTGACAGTGTAATTTTTTATTACGTGGCATTAAAAACGTGATTGAATTGTATTTTTTTATTTTTCAATTAAAAAATGCAGTGTACATAGTGAAAACACGTTTTTAACTAAGGACAAAGTTGGAAATGAAATAAAATAAAGTGGTGAAAGCCCCATTGTCCTCTGCAATTGCGAAATGGAATTGAAATTGGGGGAAGTTGAGGTTTAGGGTTCGTGGGAGAAAAGAAAGTCGTTGTTCATCTTCTTCGATTGGAAGCGCAAGTGTTGGTCAATGAAGAACATCGGCATGAGATAACGCTGCATGTGCGACTGGAACAAGTTGAAGCACGAGGTGATCTGTGGGACCTTGTGTCGTTGGAAGCGCGAGGCAGAAGCACGTGGTGAGTGAAGGTTAATCTGAACGGAGGTCAGTGTTTGTGCTTTATCGTCTTGCTTTTTATAGTTGGGAAAGTACAATATTCGGTGGTGGTCCCCCATTGATATATGGTTTTGGTCTGCGTTCGGTTGAGTGTGTTTTAGTGGTCCCCCATTAATATATGGTTTGGTCTACGTTCGGTTGAGTGCGTTTTGGTTGTGCCCCATGTATGTTTAAAGTTATTTGAGTTTGTGTGACTGCGTTTTGTTATTGT